ATATATATTCAAACTATAATTTAATTACTAAATTAATATTTACGATGATAAAGCCCTTGTGCTACAGATTAGAAGGTAATATAAAGACCATGGGAAGTTACTTTGATTATAAGGACATAAAAAGTAGGCCTGGCATGGCCAGGTGGTTAGGGTGCTTGACTCGAAAACTGCGGGTTCGAATCCTCGTTGGTTAAAAGGGTAGCCTAAGAGTTGGCGGTAGGTGGTTATGTCTAGCTGCCTTCCCTGTAGTCTTTCTCTGATAACTTAGGGACAGCTAACACAGATAGCCCTCTTGTAGCTTTGTGTGAAATTCAAAACAAACCAAACCTACAAAATCTGTGGTGATTAAAGTTAAACGTTATCGTAGTCTTACACCTTGTTGGAACATTTTCAAAGTGTGCCTCGTCGAACAAATTAGGTTGCTTAAGAATTAGAAGAAAATATGTACACGTTATGAGTGCGAAATAGTTATCCAAAATGCGTTTTATCCACACGTTGAGTGCCGTATATCAGTGCAGAGTAGGGTATTGATTAACTTGTTAGATTGTTGATTAGAAGGTCCAACATTGGAGTCGCGATGCTGCTTAACATGCTCCGTATTTACATCTGTGGGGACGCTGTAAACATAAGTGCTAATAGCGTTATTCAGTTAAGGCAGGTTGCAGTTCTGAATTAGGATTGGCTATGCATGAACCTATGGTTCTCTGACCTTGTGTCGTACAATGTGTCTTTCTGGTTGAAAATACCAAGGTAATCTTAAATAATTAGTAGGTTTAATAAATAAATAAATATTGTATACTTTGATTTTCTCCACAAACCAGGGTGGGTACAGCAGTTTTTTGTGTCTGAAGGTATGGTGGCTAGTTTAGTTTTTCCAGACTGTGGGTGATTTGGTATGTTCCTGTAAGGTACTCGACATCATCTTCATTTTATTGTGGACTATAGTGAAGTCTGACCAGAAGTCTGCTCCATCTTGCAGTGCATAAGGCACCCATGTGAAGCTACCACTCTAACATGTCAGCGCTTGGAGACGAATTCGAGGTAAGCAAAAAAACGTAGCCCCGCCTTGACAGAGTTACTGTCTTTCTTTCAGAGAAAGAAAATTGCTGTCTCTGTTCATGATGCTCTCACGTTGCTCAGCAGTAAGACTCTGGGCTTATGAGGCTAAAAACTAGATTTCGATGCTCATGGTTGGTACGGCATAGATAGCCCATTGTATAGCTCTGTGCTTAACAACAAAGTTTCACTGTCCTTGATCCAAGCATAGTGTATTAAGGATAGGCCTTTTACCCGAATTCTCAATCAGTATGACCTATGGTAGGGAGAGCAGCAGCTCTATGGTAAAATCGTCCAATGCAGATCATTAAGATCATAGGAACATTGATCTGTACGAGTACGTATTAGCGTCGAAATCGTAATGCTTTTAAATTTACAGGTGTTGTTTCATGGTGCACAGCAATCCAAGTCTAGCGTATTTATATCCATATTCTGAGGGGATGGAACCAACATACAAAATACACTAATTTTTGTCTATAAAACAAATTGCCATAAAGGCTTATTTGGGGCACTAAAGTTGTTGACAGCACTGAAACTGAGTAAATGTCTAAGAATGAAGTAATATACAAGTCACTGAAGATAGGCCAGTAATCTCCATTAGTATTGTTACGTCTCCGTTTGTTAATTGATTTTTCCGTAACTTTGTTCCGACGAAATTTTAACGACACAAGTCTTTACTTAATAAAACTGGTTTATTCTTTCCGAATACAACTTTACCGTATACACTC